GTGTGGCTGCTAGCGGGCCTCGAGATTGAGCCCGAAGGTACAACGGAACGAGTATCCCCTGTACTCGATCGTCGAGCGTCTATCTGTCACTGTGTGCATTTGGTCAGATATTGTGAGGCGTTTTGTGGTGAAGCAAACGATAGCCCGACAAGGTTACCAGTGCGCTTCAGGCATAAAAGGTGCAGAGTTCAAAATCAAATTTCCTAAGGCTCTATGCACTCTTGATTCCGTGCAACAACTGCACTTTTTCCATTCGGCAGTAAATGCTTCACGCAGATAAAAAAAGATGTTTCTCAAGTCGAATATTGTAAACTATTCTCACACGGGAGTCTTCGCCAAAGTGCGATATTGATGTGTGAACGTTAATAGACTAGGCGGCTGCTCAGCTAAAAGGGAAGTTCGCATTTTTTTACATCGAGGAGTGACATTTTTAGTGAAAAAGTGCCTCACAGGCCTAGCTTGGAGGTCGCTTTGTGCGTCGAATTCGGTTAAACAGTGCGTGCTTTACTCACAGTTGTCACTTTCAGCTCTGCGAATTTCAGCCATCACTAAACAAGACATTTGCCACCCACCACTACGCAGAATTTGTGCTTGACAGGTTAATCTCCCTAATGAAATTATAGTCGTGGGTAGTAATAATTATAATACCACTAGTGCCATCATCACAACCAACGCTACTACTGGTAATGTCAGAGCGAGAGGAAGAGAGAGGTGAACAGGTTTTATTTAGAAAGTATCACTTTAAGGTTTCTGCAAAAATTCCTCCCTTAACAAATTAATAAAATATCGAAAGGCATACCAAAAAGGCACAAGCATTGTGAAGAAGGTTCAAATACTAGTTTCTGTATCTCAGTCACCTTACACATGAGGTAGCGCGCTGGAAGTAGCAGTATAGAACGCTGATATGCGGATTACGGACAAAATTTATGTTGTAAACCTTGGCTCAGGGGATAGGAAGTCCCCGCAGTCATTAGGTCGGACGACATTATCAAGGCTTGGATCAGCGAATTTCTTGACTGCTATCCCTCTATAATATCAACTAAAATACCGGCAGCTGAAGACAGCCTTCAGAGAATACGTATAAAAATCAGCATGTTTTTTAAGCAAGGCTGGAAGAATAACCGTCGAGCACTAGAGGATGACGGGGGAGACTTCAGACATCTATAACTAGCCAGACTAGTTCTTAAGGTTTTTGATACGAATATAGACGACGGTGATATTAAAGTAGTTCACGAATGTTTGATTAAGTCAATTTCATAATAATGGAAGAGTGGAAGATTGGATGCCAGACTAACACCAGGGTACCGGAAGGAGGATACTTCGTTGGGCAGAATGTCTAAGACCGCATTAAAAGATGAATTAAATTGATTCCTAATTATTCAGTAAAAGAGCATTTGCCAACGCCCATGCTGAGACGTGATGC